GCTGTGCTTTAACCTGTTGTGCCACCAGGGAGAGCCCACTTTTATAATTCTTTTAAAGTTTCTCCTTCTGTTACTTTTGAACATACATATCACTCATACATTGCTCCCCTTTTTTTATAAAAGAGTTAGCATACTAAATACTATTCTTCATGTTACTTCCTTCATGTAACAGTATCTCCTGGAGAAATATGGAGATTGTCTCCATACTGTGCGGATGTATCATCATCTTTGCAACCAGTTCCTATTGATGGACATTAAGGTTGTTTCCAGTTTTAAGTCATTCCAAGCAATGACACAATAAATAGGTATGCTTGTGCCTGGTTCCCATACTTTTGTAGGTTTGTCTTTGTGAATTTGCTCCTTTGGCTGGAAGTTGTTCATTCCATCAGCAGCAAGAACTTTTTCTGTGGTTGGGGGTGGGGTATCTGCCCTCCTCTGTGTATTAACTCTAGATTTTTGGTCCTCATCCTAACTGTGAATTTTCTGTGTTTCATACATTTGCTGTTTTCTCAACAGGCGTCCAGACCAGATGAGGAAACAAAGCGTAATGGTAGGTGTTTCTAATATACTTTTTATATGTACATTACTCGTGTGGTAGGAATAAATATGTTTGAGGTAAACCAGGCAATTTGAGTGACTTGGCAGAAGTTCATACATTAGTAGAAAACTAATTTATCTTTATTCAGGGCAAACCACTGAGTGCAAGGATGCCACCTGGCTTTTCTGTGCATGGGGGATGGAGAAGGTGGGTGGTTTCTGGTGTTCTAGGCAGGCAGCTGTTCTTCCGCCTTCAGAATTAGATGTGTGGCTCCAGATGCTGTTTGCTTTCCTCAGTGGAAGAAACCGAAGGGCGGGACTTGGTGTGGTACGTTTAATGCCCTGAATCCCTATCTGGGAACCATGACATCCAGAATTTGCTACTGGGCCAAACTGCTTAAGAACAGATTTTTTGATGCAGTCTCTTTTGTGACCTGTAAAGTTTATCACAGCCCAGTCTTCATGCTTTTTTTGGAAATAAAAGCTTGAGAGTCCAGTAAGTCCCACTTTGCTAGGAGTTTCTGTTTATCTAACTGGGAGGTTGCATTTTACAATATTGATGGGAATTACTGCTACTGAATATTTGTCTTATGCGAGCTACCAGCTTAAGAATTCTCTAAGATTTGTCTCATTTAATCTTCCAGTCACCTGAAGATAGGTACCAGTTATCACCGTTTAGTAGTGAGGGAACCAAGACCGAAGAGGTCTAACTCTGCTAGAAAAGAGGAGCAGGGATTCAACCTACCAGTCTGGCTCTGCCTGTGTGCATATATAGGAATTCAGGCAGTTTCACTTGTCTGAAGAGTGAGGGGGTTTCTTTCAGTTTTGCGATTCTGACATGGTATCTCCTGGAGCATTACTTTCCCCCAAAGGAGGAGGAGTTTACAGGTGCTCTTAGGGCCAAGGGCTGCACACTGGATCCTTCTTGCTGTGTTCGCTGCTCTGGGCAACACTGCTCTTGCTCCCCTGAGCTGAGCACCCGGAACTCAGCCTTTATCATATATATATTTTTAAGATTTACTTATTTATGTGTACAAGAATTGGGGTTCAGGTCAGAGGTGTGGGGAGTGAGAGCAGAACAGGCAGATCAGCAAAGTACACTGTTGAGGGGAGCAGTGGGCGAGACAGGAAAGGTCTGCTGCGCCATGTGGGTCACCTCTGGAGGTGGGGGCAGAGAATTCAACTGGAGCTGAAGTGGCTGTGGCCAGCTTCAAGTGTTGCGTTTTAACCCGTTGTGCCACCAGGGAGGGTGTCAGAGACTCCTTGTCCCTGATCACGGATTACTGGGGGGCAGAACAGGCAGGATCTCAAAGTGGGAATGGCCTTAGCGAGCGGAGAGTCCTAGAAAAAGGGGAAAAAGGGGAGCGGGCGAGAGGAAGACACAGGAATGGGAGTTGGGTGCAAGTCTTCCTGCTCTGTCTTCAGCAGAGGTTTATTTTATACAATTCAAGCAGGCTGAGGGATGACATTAGCATATGAAATAGGCTGAGATCACAATCATCTTTTTTCTAAGAATAGTCTGGGGTCCTTTTGAGCTTTAGTTGAGATTATAACAGTTTTAAAATCAATCTGTCAAGGTTAAAACAGGTACATAGATTCACAAAGTTTAAGACTAATATTACTATATTTACCACAGTGAAGATTAACCAAAATAAAGTCCCTGAAATATTATCTATTACTTAAGGGTTTTCACTCTCATAGAGACATCCTAGGGGGTAAAGTAAAGTGAGGGCAGGAAGAGGAAATTTCTTGTAAATCAAATTAAGGTAAGGTTCTTTGAAAAACTTGTTAAAAGTTTAAATGAGTTTTCTTGAAGTCTAGATGGTAGAAAATCTGATCGGCTCTGAGTAGGCCACTTGGGTGAATTTCCATATCTAAAAACCAGATAGTAGGAAGTTTGAGTGGTTTTTTAGAAACTGAATGGAAGGCTAGGTGAGATAGAGTGATAAGACTTGGGTTTTCCTCCTGTCTGGCAGTGAGAGAGACTTTGCAATAACAGCCATTTGTTTTTTTTAATCAGCCTTTTGACGTCAAGAGGAATTGCTCACCCTGGTGCAGTACTTGCTCGTCAGGGCCAGGTAGCGCCTCCTGAGGCTGAGGCAATCCAATTGTAAGCTGAAGGTTGCTCAGAATATTTTGATATTACGATTATACAAAAAAGGGAGGTCATAATATAAGGTAGTGTGGAAATTCTGATTTTTCAGAGCATTTCCCCTCCATCCGTACTGTGTCTGTCGACAGAGGTTGCATAGTTTGTGTGAGGAGGGCCCAGCCTTTATCATAGTTGACAGCTAACTGAGGCCTCAGAGACCAGGGTCAGGTTTGCTGGATATTACTGAAAACTCCCTGAGGTATTTTTTCTGGAATGGATTCTTACCTCGCGGAATGAGGTAATCTGCAGGAGCACTTCATAGTCCTATGTTTGCCAACACCAAAGGCATAACTGTTACAGGGCACCCCAATGTGAAGTGGGGTGCCTGTCTGTGGGTCTTCACCAGCGCACTTACGATTCAATCGTATTATGGACACACTCAGAAGGTTAAATAATGGATTGATTTATAAGGAGAAAGGTAAGGGAATAACCCAGGGAAAGAGGGAGAGAAACACAGGTTAACTAGGATGTCCTACCAGTTCTGCTGACTTGGACTCCACCGGCACGCTGAAAACCGATTGAGCGCCAAAATGATCAGATGCGAACCACCAGGTCCCCCCAGAGCCGACATGTCCAGTTTTATCCCAACCTGGCTGCTCAGCTCCGCCCTCACGTCCCAGCGCACTTCTCCTTGGTACTGATGGGATTTGGAGTTCCAGCATCTGGAGTAGGGGCGGAGTCCTTGAAATCTGTACCTGTTACATAACTAGTTTAATCCTGGACTGTGGACTGATTCTTCTCACTCAAGTCTGGCCTCCGGGTCTTTTTCTGTTAACCTCTTTTTGGCGTCCCCACTGCCTCACTCTATTCAGGGGAAGATAAACATTGACTCAACCCAGCCAAGATTTCTGCAGGAACACTTGAGTAGCTGCATGTGATCCTAACTCCCAGTCTGTCCTCTATAAGGAAACCTCAGTGGGTGTGGAAAGATACTTGAAATTTCTGAATACTTCTCTTTTTTAGGTGCCAGAGAAACCCTGAACTCCATGCAGATGTTGGGAACATCTGCTAACAACAGCATAAAGGTGTGGACAGCTTTTTCAGTCTCCTCCAACTGACATCCAGCATTAATAAGACTGAAGCCTCAGAGCTGTTTGTTTCTGTCTTGGTTCATATATATATATATTATAAAGGAAGCTTAGCATTTTTTTTTTTAAGATTTATATATTTATACATACAGAACTGGGGTACAGGCCAGAGGTACAGGGGCGGTGAGAGGATTCACCAGAGACAGAGTGGGGAGCAGAACAGGCAGATTGACAAAGCGGGGAGACAGGAGAGGTCTGCCACGCCATGAGGGTCACCTCAGGGGCCAGGGATCAAAGTCACACTGAAGCAGCTGTGGCCATCTTGCAGTGCTGTGTCCTAACCCGTTGCGCCGCCAGGGAGGGCCCTTGGTTCCTTTTTTTTTCTTCTTCTTTTTTTTGAAGATTTATTTATTTGTGCATACAGAACTGGGGTACAGGCCAGAGGCTCAGGGGTGGTGAGAGGCTTCACCAGAGACAGAGTGGGGTACAGAACAGGCAGATCTACGAAGTACACTGCTGAGGGGAGCAGTGGGCGGGTCAGAGAGGTCTGCTGTGCCATGTGGTCACTTCCGGGGCAGGCAGGAATCGAACTCATGCGGAAGCGGCTTAAGCTTCTCAGTGCTGTGCTTTAACCCGCTGCGCCACCAGGGAGGGCCTGGTTCCTATTTTTAATCAACTGAAGCTACTTCTTTTCTGCTTGGTTCAAAGATACTCCATGTTTTCATGGCCCCATTGCAGCCAGTTCAACTAATTTGTAATAACATGCTGCACATGCTGTTTACAATAGTCTTAAAGTAATTGTATATATTTAAAAATTCCTACTGTGATGATATATTATTTTTATATTCAGAAATCAAGTTTACAGAAGAAATTTTTTTGTTTGCAGAAAACTCAGATTCTCCAGAATCCTATCAACTGAAAAAATTGATTCCCATTTGATATTTTTGTTTTGTTAGAGCCTGACCTGTGCTTGTCTTACTTGGCAAGTCTACAGAGAAGGATATTTTTGCATAAACCTTGGGTTTACCAAAGTTGAAATATATATTATGATTCTTAATACTTGAGAATTGATATCCTACGATCACACCAGGCAATGTCTGGATTTTAATTAGGACTTGGCATTTCACTTTGATATAATTTGATTCCATATTTGGACCAGGATCTTAAGAACTTTCTGCCCTTGGTATTGATAAATGAGGTGATAAATTGATAAATGGTTAGAAATAATAACCCATTAGAATGAGGGTTCCCCAGTAAGTGACTCTGTCTTTTCTTCTTTCAAGGAGGCCGATGTGTATAGGATGGATAGAAAACTCAGAGGTTACTGTGTCATTATCAACAACGAAACTTTTACCTCACTGCCCCCTCGACCAGGGACCCATTCCGATGCTGGTAAGAAAGTGTGGGATAGTGTGTCAAATGCAGCTTGGGGCTCTTCAATTCATTTTTGACTTTCACTTTTTGTGCAGTTTTCATCTTTCATTTAAATGTAAGAATGACATCATACGTGTTTTCATGTCCCTGATTTCCTTGGTGTCGCAGTCCACCTGGACTGATTTAACAAAATACCAGAAACCAGATGACATGTGAACAACAAACATTTATTTCCAACAGTCCTGTAGGCGGGGAAGTCCAAGGTCAAGACTGCTACTTGGGTGTTTAATGAGAGTCCACTTTCTGCAAGGTCATCTCGGAGTAACTTCACTTGGTGGGAGGGGTGAAGGAAGATCTCTGGGTCCCTGGTTCAAGGTACTAACTCATTTGTGAGCCCTCCACCCTCACAACTTCTTCACCTCCCGAAGCCCCACTTTTGATACTCCCACTTTGGGATTTAGGATTCCAACATGTGAAATTTCAGGGCAGGGGGAGGGGATTCAAATGTTCAGCACTTGGGATGCCACCTGTCTGCCTAAAGAGTGGCCGCTGTCCCTGATCTTTACTCCTCGGTGGCCTGCCGGAGGGTTTGGTGAGTCAGTCCAAGAGGACCAGGTTTGAGTTCTGCCTCCCCCACGAGCCAGCCTGGGATGGGGAGATTCGTGGGGCTTCAGTTTCCCCCTCTGCAGAACAGGATGAAATTCTGTCCTATGCTGGTTCTCAGCAGCCTTGTGGTAGCACTGTGACTATTATAAGAAGGCAAATTAGGCCTTCCCTGGTGGCACAGCGGGTTAAAGCACAGCACTAAGAAGCTAACGCCACTTCTGCATGAGCTTGATCCCCGCCTGCCCCGGAGGAGATCCACATGGTGCGGCAGACCTCTCCTGACCCGCCCGCTGGTCCCCTCAGCAGCGTACTTCATCGATCTGCCTGTCTGCTCCCCACTGTGTCTCTGGTGAAGCCTCTCACCCTCTGCATCTCTGGCCTGTACCCTAGTTCTGTACGAATAAATAAATAAATCTTTAAATTAAAAAAAAAAAGAAGGCAAATAAACTACAGAATTTTATGAAGTAAAAATAAAGCCCAATGTTTCAGGAAATTTGCTATGCAATTCCCCATCAGCAATCTGACCCCTTTATTTTGCTCAACTTCACTTCATTGTCTTTCTTTCCGTTACCCTTTTTACAGAGTTCCTGCTAGATGTATTTGAGTGGCTTGGGTTCATTACAGAAAAAGTTGATAATGTGACCAAGACAAAGCTTGAGGATATTCTGAAGAAATATAAGGACCTTCCAGGCCACGCTGATGGAGACTGCTTTGTGTTCTGTGTTCTGACCCATGGGAAACATGGAGGAATCTACACTTCAGATGGGTCCTTCATCTACACTGAGAAGATCATGTCTCATTTCACCCTCAGTCAGTGCCCTGGTCTGGCAAACAAACCCAAACTCTTTTTCATCCAGGCCTGTCAGGGTGAAAAGACACAGCCTTCCATTTCCACTCAAGCAGATGCTATAACATTTGAGCACCAAAATCCTGAACCTCTCTCTCTTCAGAAAGGTCTTCCTGATTGGGTGGATATCCTCCTTGGCCAGTCCACCTTCCCTGGCTATGTTTCTTTTCGGGATGTGAACACAGGCAGCTGGTATATCCAGTCTCTCTGTCGTCATCTGAAGGCCATGGTCCCAAGGTAAGAGTTTTGATTTGTTCCGTCCACCCACTTACCTGTTAACCCAGCTCTCTACCTATGAGCCATGCATCCCTCCATGCATCCATCTGTCCATCAAATAGCTATCCACTGCCCGTCCGTCAAAACATCCATCCCTTTTCCTCCACATGTCTGTCCATTAACAAACCTATATTAAGCACCAGCAAGTATTCTTAAACATATACTGTAGTCGCAAATTTTTATATAATTTTAACTTTTCTTTTTCAATTTTAGAAGTATTCCTTTATATTTGGTGGGATTCCAGTTAGAATCTGGGCATGTTAGACTTGGGAGAGGCCACCTATGTTTAGGGTGCTCTTACTCAAACCTGATACGTGATTTCTGTTTCCTGATTGAAAATAATTTTTTCTCTGCTTATAGGCGTCATGACATCTTAGCCATCCTCACTGCTGTCAACAAAGATGTGAGTGAAAAAGAGGATTCATCTGGAACAAAGAAACAGATACCCCAGCCTTCTTTCACGCTGCGCAAAAAACTCATATTCCCTGTGCCACCCGAACAGTAGACCCTAGAGAGTTTTCATCAACTTTTAGACTTGAAAGGAACATCTCTCTCAACCTCCTACCCAGTGTAAGGTTCAGTGACAGATGTTCTCTACCTGTTATTCTAGTGCTAGAAAATGCCCAGTTCTCAGACATACCAAGTCCTATTTCCTTGCACCAGTGTGAATGTTGGATACTTTCTTTGTTGGAGCCTTGGGTGGTACTCATGTTTTTAGTTGTGCACCCAGAAGGAAAAAGAAATCATTTGACCTCGATTTGTACATCTTTGAAGTAAAAAATGATGGCCACGTATACATTTATGGTTCCTTTGGCCTTAAGAACCAGTGGCCTTAGTCTAGCCCAAACCTCTGTGTCTGACCACTCCTTGTTAACTTCTTCCTCCTCTGCATCCCCTTGTTTTGGACATTGGATGATGACAAGGCCACGGTGCTCTGACCTTTCTGTTCCCGTGTCCTAAGGGTTGTCTATGATGTAAGACGCAGGAGTGTTGGCTCTGGGAAGGCGACAGCTTGATGTGAAAAGGGGCGTGAGCCCCCACACTGGGAGCAGAAACATTACAAGCTGATATCAAATTCCGTGTTAGGTAGAAGCTTTTGGATGCCAGTAATGGACTGTTCAATTCCAACCCACTAAAACAAAGAAGGGGACTTATTATTATTATTTTTAAAGATTTATTTATTTATACAAGAACAGGGGTACCGGCCAAAGGTGTGTTTGTGGAGTTGGGGGGGGGAGCATGAGAGGATTCACCAGAGACAGAGCGGAGAGCAGAACAGGCCAAATGACCAAAATACACTGCTGAGGGCAACAGCAGGTGGGTCAGGAGAGGTCTGATGTGCCATGTCGGTTGCTTCCCTGGCTGGGGATCAAACTCCTGCTGCAGTGGCTGGGGACAGCTTCATAGCGCTGTGTTTTAACCCCTCGTGCCACCAGGGAGGCCCAAGAAGGGGACTTACTGCCTCTTTCACCTGCAAGTGCATGGAATGGTGGTGTCAGCTTCAGGTGAGGATTGAATCAGGACACACTCTGTGGTTCTGCAGCTCCCTCTTGTCAGTGGTCCTCTGGGCTGGCAGCTGCAGGTGCTGAGGGCAGGCAAACCTCTCTCCACCCCCCCTCATCCCATCATTAACCTGGTCTGCTCCTCTGGCCCAAAGGACAAAGAGAGAGAGAAAGAGAGATCTTGAAGTGATGATCCTCTCCCCTGCAACAGAGGTGTGGCTTATGCACTTTGCCTTTTTACAGAAGCCTTATGACTTTTTAAATTAAGGTTTTGAACAGCATTATGTGTGTGAGCTTTGTTTTTCAATTTCAAGAGAAGTTTTCTTTTGTAATTCTTAGAAGAACGGATATTAAAAGTCCTCTGGTTAGGGCTTTCGTTATAGATGTGGAAATGGAGTCTTGAGAAGTAAATCAATCTGTTAGAGCCCTCTGACCAATTACAGTTTATAGGACTGTATGTCCCTCCCAAGTGAACTAGACATGCAGAGACTTATACACATTGCCTGGGGTGTGCAGATGCTCGTGGTCGATGTCAAAGAATGAGCAAAAATAGTTCAGGGATGCCTGACTTCATGACTATCTGTGCAAGTTAATGTACTATGAGAAATATTTGTAACAACCTTCTTATAATATAACTAGGAATTACATGTAAACAGAGCTTGACCAAGGAGACTAATCTAATACATGTGTCAGGAAATCTTCAGCTGTTCACACAAAAGCACAGCTAACAGCAGTGGTTTGTCCAGTTGGAATACACAGCTTTTGGCCAGCCTAAAGTTGCCTGCACCTGAAGGATAGTGTGGCACAAAGGATGGGGAAAAAGACATGTTGGGTTTCCGTTTTGTCCTAGAATTCCTTTGGGTAGAGACACTCACTCAAGTTAGCTTTTAGAGCTTTATCTGTAGAGAGAACATAGGTTTTTAATGCAATAGCTGTCAAGAATGTGCTTTCTTTCTTTCTTTCTTTCTTTTTGAAAGATTTATTGATTTATTCATACCGAACTGGGGTACAGGCCAGAGATGCAGAGGGTGAGAGGATTCACCAGAGACAGAGCGGGGAGCAGAACAGGCAGATCTACGAAGTACACTGCTGAGGGGAGCAGCCGGCAGGTCAGGAGAGGTCTGCCGCTCCATGTGGGTCACCTCCAGGGCGAGGATCGAACTCGCACTGAGGTGGCTGTGGCTCACTTGCAGTGCAGCGTCCCATCCCGTTGCACCACCAGGGAGGGCCCCTCCCTGATTTTTTTTTTTTAATATGGGACATTCTCACAGCATTAAGGTGCTACCTCACTGTGGTTTCGCTTTCTGTTTTCCTGATGATAAATGGTAATGAGCATTTTTTATGTTTCTGTTGTCCATGTCTCTACATCTCTAAAGTAGAGGGAGTATCCTCCATTAACCTAGGGGGAGGGTTAATACTAACTGTGGTGAGATGTGTGAGAGCTGTAGGGCAGCATGTTCTGGTTGTAACCTGAATGGAAGTAGCAGAGTTTGAGTTCCTTTGCATTTAATTCCAGCTGACTTTTGGTCTCAAGTTAACACTAGCAATACCCAAAGATTTTCTGGGAGTGAGGACCTGCCTCTTCCCTGACTGGTTCCCACAGTGCCTCCAGCAGCAAGACCAGCTCCTGGTTGTAAGCCCACGGAGCAAACACTGCTGGTGACCTCCCCTTCATCAAACATTGAGGGCTTGATGTTTAACTTCTGGGCCTGTGGTCTGTTTCTAGAAACTCCAGGAGCCTCCAGCAAGTGTTTTAGGAGTCATTAGACTTTATCCCCACTTTTCAGAGGTTAATACAGATACCGGGAAAGTCACCCTGGCTCATTTCTCCTTGATAGTGAGTATGTACTTGTTCCTATTTGCTTATTCTGCATATCTTACAAGTACTGCAGTGGGTTTTCTGTTTGTTTTTCTTTTCTTTTTTTCTCCGAATTTGGCTTCTACCAAACAAAATGAAGGGCATGAATACTTTGATAAAGTGTTGTGTAATAGTTAATTATTTAATATGACTGGTGGTCACCACAGCATAGGGGTGGGAAAGGTATGGCTGGGCAAGGTTGATATCATGGGAATTAGTCACCACAGCATAGGGGTGGGCAAGGTTGATATCATGGGACTTCCCTTAGCAATGCATTCTAGTCTGCCGAATACTCGGCCACCTGAGTTTCTGAGCTACTGGTGTGGTGTGGCTACTGATCAATCAGAGCAGACAGACTCGTATAGCACAGTGGTAGGCGCTTCTGAGAGCAGCCCTGTATCAGTGATCAATCAATTGAAGTAGACCAGGTTAGGATTTTACCTCATTTTATAAATAACTTTGGTGCTGTATCTGATTCACCAAATCCTCCAGGTCAGATACTTTCTGAATTATCTGGTCAGGTTGTCCTTAAACTGGAAAGCTTGGGTTCTTAGGTTCTTGTGAAGTTATCCTCAAGATGTGAGAACTCCACCTGTAATTCTTTTTTGGTGGGGATCTTTGAACATTAATAGAAGTTCATCCTGGCTTCTCTGTGTGAACACTTCATATTTAAACTCTAACATATGCCTCCTGTGCCTGCCTCTGTTACTCACTCATGGAAAGTGATGAACTTTACAATGAACCTTTTTAAAAAAAAGATTTATTTTTGGGGGTCCTCCCTGGCGGCATAATGGGTTGAAGCACAGCACTATGAACCTAGACATAGCTGCTGCAGCACGGGTTTGATCCCTGGTCAGGGAACTGACCCACATGGTACCACAGACCTCTCCTGTCTTGCCCACTGCTCCCCTCAGCAGTGTACTTCATTGATTTTGCCTCTTCTGTCCCAATTCTGTCTCTGGTGTATCCTCTCACTGCCCCTGCATCTCTTGCTTGTACCCCAGTCCTATATCCATATATAAACAAATCTTAAAAAACCTTTAAAAAACAAAAAAGATTTGTTTTTATTTTATTTATGCATACAGGAAGTGGAATGTAGGCCAGAGGTGCAGGGGGTGAGAGGATTCATCAGAGACAGAGTGGGGAGCAGAAAAGGAGAATCTACTGAAATACACTGCTGAGGGGAGCTGTGGGACAGAGAGGAGAGGTCTGCTGTGCCATGTGGGTCACCTCCTTGACCTCCTGGCCGGGACCTAACTCATGCTGCAGTGGCTGGCAATAGTTTGATAGTGCTGAGACTTTAACTCCTGTGCCACCAGGGAGGCCCTTTACAATGAACGTTTGAATGTAGCTGACTAGGGGTCTGTGGCAGAGAACCTCAGATTTATTGTCATGCCGGAGGTTAATCTACTTGAAGCCTCTGGTCTATCTTCATTGGATGGTAGACTCCTATTTCACCTGACCTCTGTGAGGCTTCCAGTGGGAGTAACTCACACTATAATCAGCATTTTGGATTTGGGACCCCAGAGACTCTGTGCCCAGCTTTGAAAGTACTAAGTGGCTTCTGTAGAACTTTAACTATTGAATTTGAACCTATTTAAAACCACTGGTTCTCATCCTAAATTCTGGAGTCATATCAAACAAATGTCACTATCCTCTCAGTGATGTATATATGGCATGTGACAAGTTATTTATCTTTTTCATTTGGTAGGTTCTGGGTCTTGCCAAAAATTTGCAGTTTTCTTTTTCAGGTGTTAGGAATGAGTGACCCACACTGTCTTTGTAAAGGAGCTATTTCTGAAAGGAAAACCTTTGTAAAAATCAAACTAGAAGAGATTCCCTATTGAAAGGAGGACTCATTTGACAATACCAATGGCCATTTCTTAGTGTAACTTTTGCATATGTGAATTTCTACAAGTTTTGTTATTCATTTTTTTTTATTGAGGGAGCATCAGGGTTTACATCATTGTTTGTGTTTTCAAAATAAAGGATTTCCCTCTCAGGTGTTATTACCATACTACACCCACCACCAAAACTCCCCAGTCCATGTGGGCCCTCTCCACTTTGCTCATCTCACCTTCTCGCCAGCTGGCAGCCTTCATTCTGAGAGGGTTTTTCTATTAAAATAAATTAGATTTATTTTTT